ACAGCTGCTTGCTCCTGCACGGCGGCCCGGCTGAGCAGCTCAGAAGTCAGTCGAGCGCCATGGCGGGAGGCAAAAGCGCCCCCCCCCCCAGAGGGAACAGCCAGCATTTAAGCATTACGGAGTCACAGACATTGGGCTACAGTATATATGATAAGGGTCTAATTATTTTGAAATAATAACTCCTACTTTCCTTGGGGAATAAGCTTATTTCAAAATGGTTATTTTGGGAGTTGTTATTTCAAAATAATTTCCTAGTGTAGACATGCCCATGCAGACCTACTCAGATTCACTGATAACAGTTGGTGAATAATATGAAATAGTAAATTTGCTAACAGAAAAACACATGTCTCAGAGAGGTAGCAGTATTAGGGAATATCTACACAACAGGGCAAAAGTCAAATTAAGCTACTCAACTTCAGCTATGTCAATTGCATAGCTTAAGTCAAAATAGCTTAATTCAGCTTTTGGTGCTGTCTACACAGCAGGAAGTCGAAGGAAGAACACTTCCTTTGATTTCTCTTACTCCTCATGAAATGAACGTAAGAACGGCCATACAGGGTCAGACCAAAGGTCCATCTAGCCCAGTATCCTGTCTGCTGACAGAGGCTAATACCAGATGCTCCAGAGGGAGGAAATACAACAGGTAATCCTCACATGATCCCTCCTCTGTCACTCACCTCCAGACAAACAGCAGCTAGGGACACCATTCTTACCAACCCTGGCTAATAGCCGTTGATGGACCTAACTTCCACGAAGCTATCTAGATCGTTTTTGAACCCTGTTAAAGTCCTAACCTTCACCCATCTTCTGGCAAGGAGTTCCAGAGGTTGACTGTGCACTGAGACAAGAAAAACTTATTTTTTTTAATTTTAAACCAGCTGCCTATTAATTTCATTTGGTGACTCCTTGTTCTTACGTTATGGGAACAAGTCAATAACTTTTCCTTATTCACTTTTTCAATACCACTCATGATTTTATAGACCTCTATTATATCCCCTCTTAGGCTATGTCTACACTACAATGATCTATTGGAAAAAGGTACACAAATTTTGGTCAGTCTAAACTGGGCCAAATTTCAGAAAAGCCTCCTCTTTTGGAAGAGCCCTTCTTCCTTGCAGGAGGAGGAAGACAGGGCTTCTGAAAGAGCCCGTCTGCTCTTCCACAAAAAATAGCAACACCGTGTCTTTAAACTCTCCCGCTATTTCCCGAAAGAGCGGGTGCACTATTCCGGCATCCCTGTACATTAAGGGATTTGTCGTAATAGTGCCTTATTCTGACATTTGGTGCTGTCTATACGTACCAAATTTCAAAATAAGCTCTTTCAACCTGGACTCGGATAAAAGAAATATGCAACTCTCTGGTAACTAAGCCAGCATATTAGGCTTACTAATGGGAAACATGCCTGCATAGCCCATAAGAGCTCAAGGAGGGGCTCTTCCCCCCTTCAGGTCAGTGGGAGGCTACACCACCTTACTACAATGAGTCCCTGTAGTCCTTGGTTTCAGGCCTGCGATCAGACCAAGACAACAGTCAATGCTCTGTTGAGCCTCGGCCCGGGAGTCATCCCAGTCTATAGGCCCAGACCCTGGGGCAGGGTAGGCAACAAACACAGGGTAAGAGTCTGGTCCCATGCCCTGGTTCAGAGGAGGGCAGCAAACAACAGTTGGTAGAGTGCCCAAGGTCCTGGGTCAGGGTGGGGCAGTAAATAGGCAGTTAATACCGTCAGGGGCCTGGGCCCTGGGTCAGGGTGGGGCAACAAACACACTGTTAGTAGTTCAAAGTGGGGCAGACAAAAATCGGGTCTCCTGGTTCCCGTGGAGATCCGGCAAGTGCAGGAGGTTGGCCTAGAGTAGCAGAGGGGGGAGACTGCCACCCAGGGGTTGGGTGGCAGAAAGGATGCAAGCCCACTCTCTCCACTATGTCCTAGTCCAGGGCCCTAACAGCAGCAGATCAGCCTGTGGGACTCTCACCACAATACACGGACTGATGTTCTGAATCGGCCAGAC